ACTACATAAACGCTAGGGATTGGAATGATATGTTACTTCTAAAGCTGTTGGCTGCGACTATGCAGAATAATCGAGCCCTTTTGTCTCACTTTTGGAAGGATGAGAAATCCTGTGAGGAAGCTTATTAATATTCCATTACCAGCGCATTATGCAAATTCCTATTAAAAATTTATGCAACGGAAGAGAGCAATTTTCGAAAAATATTCAATATTCAGGCTTAATGAATCAGCAGCTGCCTCGGGGGAAACTGATTTCATCCAGTGATGTCATCTCTTATGCTTTTTGTTGCTCATGGGAGGAGCAAGGGGGAGGGCGTCCATTATTAGCGAAAATTTTCCAACCTGATGTTCTGGTGAGTACGGTGTCTACCGTTTCACATCCAGTCTGGAGCGATCCGTTACGGTTTCCGCCTCGTGATATCGACGGACGCGAGTTCACAAATACCCATGAGAGTACGATTACATAGCAGATCTGAAGTGAAATCCATCACTTTTTGGAATACTCATGACCTCAGTCACCATATCTACAGTCATGATCCCTAGAAACGATAGGGCGTGTGACGTGGTGCGGATTGGTCCGCGACCAGGGCGCCCCTTTTCCATTAGTAATGCCATCCTAAGCCCGCTACAACTGGTGGGAAATCGGATCTGGCAGCACTCCAAGCCATGCCCCTGTCAGAAGCCCTATCATCTGCGGGGATCATGACGGTGTCTAATGAACGATAAATCACATGCAACTGAACCTGGGTCTATTAGGCATAGATTGGGCGCAGTTTGGCGACGGGGGGGCATTTTGCACTTTTGCTACCTCCCATCGACGTGTCGACCTATCTAGACAGCCTGTTCTCCGAGTTAAAAGGTTCACGAAGATGGCTTGACGACTTTGTTCCAGCTTCACAATAGTTCACAGGTTATCGCCAGAGTGAGACTTGTAAACCGGAACTAGGGAAGCGATGATAATACGAAATGCCCCCCTCCCGTCGTCAAACTGCGCTTATGGGGACGGGAGATTGTTTTGGTTAAGATTGTTAGTAGCCGTATACTCTGCCGTATAGTATACGTATACGGTAGACGATGTGCAGTGGGATGTGATGTTGAGCATGTCCACTGCCGTGTTGTGTGTGTGTGTGTGTGTGTGTGTGTGTGTGTGTGTGTGTGTGTGTGTGTGTGTGTGTGTGTGTGTGTGTGTGTGTGTGTGTGTGTGTGTGTGTTGCGCTGTGTGATGTGCGTGTCCCGCTCGCGCGTCGTGTGTGTGTGTGTGTGTGTGTGTGTGTGTGTGTGTGTGTGTGTGTGTGTGTGTGTGTGTGTGTGTGTGTGTGTGTGTGTGTGTGTGTGTGTGTGGGGGTAGGAAATTCATAGCGAGCGTCGCAGAATTGGACATTTGCCTACCGCAATTGAAATATCTCCAGCTTCCTAAGCTCCATTGGCATCATGGCCATGTGCAAATAGCAAGCGACATCTTCTCACAGATAATGCAAGAGGTTTAGCCTGCTCGACTACGACGAAGCAGGGTACAGCATCGTTGGGTGAAAACATAGGAGGGGGTCGCACTTCTCCGCTGGGAAGGGTGGTCGAATATGGTCGCTGGGAGAGAGAGGAGGGGAGGGAGGTCGCATGTGCGTCTCAGAGAAATTTCTGCTTTGGGAAAATTTTTCCCCCGGTTGCTGATTTTTGCCGGCAGTGATTCTTGGTCTGTTTCGATGTGTGCTATATATTCCCTTTCCAACCCCCCCACCGCGGACAGAAAATTTTTGGACAAAAGTGGAAAACGTGGGAATGTGGTAGTGTTCGCGGAAGGAGGACTCGTGACCCGAGACTCTCATTTAGAGGCTAGGAGGGGTCGTACCTACACTACTATTTCACACACATCACGATGCTGTACCCTGCGACGAAGTGACCCTACAGCAACTCATGGTATAGAATATAGCATGAACCTCGACGGACTTCTAGGCACCATAGGCCTCCACGAAGCTGTTATATTTCTGTC